TGCTGTGGCTCAAGTGGTAGAGCGCTAGCCTTGAGCTGAAGAGCTGAGGGACAGCGCCCAGGCCCAGAGTTCAGGCCCCACGACTGGACCCAAAAAAAAAAAAAAAGAGATGGGGAAGCAGATGGAGGAGCATCTCCAGTGAGGAATGAAGGATGCAGAATTGGGCAGAGAACAGGAGCCTCAGTGTGTTCCTTGAGAGCCTCAGCGCCTCCCGTGGGGGCCTCTGGAAGGAGCTTGCTCCTTTTGAGCTGTCCCAAACCGAGACAAGACCCCAGGTCTTGAAATAGGGGTTCGCTATTTCACCTCTTTTCATCAGGTGAGCTCTGGTTCAAGCTCACACCTTAGACAGGCTCAAAAGAGGAATGAAGGAAATTCGAGAGGGAGGGAGAAGCAAGGAAGGAAGGGAGGGAGGGAGGGACGGGAGGAAGGAAGGAATACGTGTGGAGTCTCTGAGTTGGTAGAAAGTTATTTGCTCAGTTTCTCCTTCCTCCTTGCCCCGCCCAGGGCACTCGTGCTCTCTAATGTGGACAGTGGGCAGGTGTGTGACCCTGGGAAAGTGACTTGACTTCTCTGAGTTCCAGTGTGTGCTGTAAGTGGGAGGAATGAAGTGGAGCCCCAGCACAGGTCTGTGAGCATCACTAATGCACTGCGTGACCCCTGGGTCACTGTCGGTGCGCCCTCCACGAACAGGGCTACGATGAGTCTGCATGTGGATGATAAAAACTGGTTAGTGACAACTAATCAACCTTTGGGTTCTGACAGAGCTTGGGGACTTCCTGGAAGGGAGGCTGGACTTGAACACACAGAGAAGAGCCAGTGCTGGGCCCAGGGAGAGCCTTGCAGCTCCCGGGGGTGTGTGTGTCTGTGTTTGCTGACACCTCCTGGGGGAAGCACTCCAGGCCTCACGTTGGTTCCAGGCTCAGCAGAAGGCAGGAGCGGGGAGCACTGTGATTTCTCACTTCTTCTCAGGAGAATACACCCCAGCGCTGGCACAGGCAAGCTCAGCATCTAGGAGCTCTCTCCAGGGAGGCCGCAGCTGAGACATCCCCTTGGCTCTCAGAATCTGTCAAGCCTGCGAATGTAAAATACACATTCAAAGGGCCGTGGCCTCCTTGCCGCTGCCTCTTCCTAGTCCTTCCCCCGATCGGAGGCAGTGGCTCCTGGCCCTGGCCCTATGTTTCCATGCAGGAAGCAGAAGTCTGTTCTGTGAGCTTCCCTGCGTGCAGACCCTTGCAGGGCTGAGAGCTAGGGATCACCTATCTGGCAGCAGGGGCTCTGGGGGCGGGGCTGTGGGAGAGGGAGGAGCCACAGGATGGGCTGGGTGGGAAGGCTTCTGGAAGGGGCATGGAGGGTCCCCGAAAACTTGCAAGGCTGAGGGCAGAGGGAAGCCCTGTCCAGGGAGATGCCCACCTGTTGCCCACAGTGCTAGGTAGGCCCCGGGGATTGCCGAAAGATGTTAAGCAGAGGTATTTCTTTTCTTTTCTTTCTCTTTTTTTCTTTTTTCTTTCTTTTTTTTTTTGTTGGCCATGGGGCTTGAATTCTGGGCCTGGGCACACTGTCCCTTAGCTCTTCAGCTCAAGGCAAGCACTCTACCACGTGAGTCACAGTGCCATTTCCGGTTTTCTGGTGGTTTATTGGAGATAAGAATCTCAGATTTTCCTGCCCTGGCTGGCTTTGAACTGCGATCCTCAGATCTCAGCCTCCTGAGTAGCTAGGATTACAGGTGTGAGCCACCTATACCTGGCAAGCAGAGAGACTTGTTGTTGTTGTTGTTGTTATTGTTGAGACAAGGTCAGGAGCTAGCCTCCAGCTCTTGATTCTCATCCTCCTGAGTGCTGGGATTACAGGTATGTACCACCATGCCCAGACAGAGGAGACATTTTGTATTACAGAAGGGTCACTTTGGTGGCCAGCATCACTCCTGGATTCAAAGACGCCCCTCCAAGGTTGGGAGGAGGCCGGGCCCTGGTCTTGGAACACTCAAAAGCAGACCTCATGGAGAGGCTTGGGTAAAGGAGTTCACTGGGGAGTTGAAGCCCTTTGATACATGAAGAGTTTGAAACCGGAAAGGCAGCCAGTGGTGGACGGGCTGGTGGGCAACAAGGCCATCCCCAATGGAGTTCAACTCAGAACTGCCCCACTGGGGGAGGGGAAGCCAAGGGGTCCTTCCTCAGTTGAAGCCCAGCCACACAGGCATCAGATGAGGTGCCTAGAAGCGAGGCCTCCAAAGAGGGGTGCAGGAACAATGTCCCCAGGTGTATGGCTGTGCAGGGAGGTGGCCTCAGCCGGGATATGCCACACAATAAGGGGCGGGCTGGTTGTACCCCCACATCTGTCCGGCCACAGTGAAGCCTGCCACTGGGCAGGCAAAGCTTGGGTGAGTGTCATAGTCCTGGTCCCATTTGACCGGTGATACTTCTCTGGATAGACTGTGCTGGCATTTGCAGTGCATGGGGTGTGGGGTAGGAGCAGCAGCACAGCACGGGCTGGGGTCAGGCAGCTGCAGCGCCCATCCGCCGTGCACATCCTCACATAGCAGGCTTCCAACTGGGGGGAAATACCCTGGGAAGTCTGGGCTGTGGCGTGCAGTGACCATGCCTTACTGGTTTGTGTCTATAGTCACAGTCAGCCACACGTGGCCTTTATGGAGGGCTCTGTCTCCATCATGACTGTGCACAAAGAGAATGGGGAGAAGGACTTTGCACTCCCAGAGCACACCTGTCTTGTCACAAAGCAGTCTCCTGAAAAGTCCCACAAGAACATGTTGGAGATATATTGTGACCACAGTGGAAAGAGGCTTCTCCATGGAAAATCTGACACCTGGTCTAGAGGGCACCTGAGTTCACTTTTCTGGATTCGTTTAGTCAAGAGATCCATCAATCATTTGCTTTTGCTTGATGCAGACCCTAATTGAGGAATTTGCATGCCTAATGCATAGAGAAATCACTGGCCAATGCTATAAAACCTAAGAAAGTGGTTTCTGCAGATTCTACTCCCCCCCACACCTCACCCTCCCCCCCCCAAAAAAAAAGTGGCAGGGAGGGGAGCAGGAGGAGATGTTCTCAACAAACTTCCATTTCATAGTGCAGTCATGTGAAGGGAAAATTCAGAATCAGGCAAGATTGCTTTCAGGGAAATTAAGTGATTATTGGATTTAAAAACTCAGTGGGAATACAGAACAACACTGCCGATAAACAAGCAAGCCAAGATGATTAACTCAAATTTTTCTTAGAGATTCCAAGAGAGAAGCTAAGAGCTCAAAATTAGGATGGAGAAGATAGAATCCTGATGTGTTTAATGGGAGATTGGGGTGGGGGAGGGGCGTGGAGAGGGAAGAGGCAATAATCAAATAAACAATAGAAAATGTTGCTTATCAGAAGAAAGTAGACCACATTCTGCTCAAAAGAATCTATTGAGTATCTTATCAGCAAAATTAAGAATATTGTCCATATGTTAAAATGCCATAGTGCAATTTTTCTCTTTATTTTAAACTTTGAGGTTAAAAAATTATTATTACTGTTGTTGTTTAGACTTGCTTGTAAAAAGGGGAGTAGCCTGGGGTGGTTAATGTATTTTAGAGGGTGTGGTAGGAGGGAGAGGCCTGTGGGGTGTAGGCCTTGGTCTGGAGGAAGGGCCAACAATGAGCGTGGTGGGCAGGCCAGGGTAAGGGGTACGTGACGGGCAAGGAAGAGACCAAGACTGGTGTTGGAGTAGCTGCCTGGTTGTCAATGCCATTTGCCATTTTGGTGGAACTCAGAGAAGCACAGATTTAGAAGAACTTTGGGGCTCCCTTTTCAACAAGCCTCGTGTGCTTGTGAAGCATCTTCAAATAGGCCAGCGATCAAACCCAGGGATAAAGACAGAATGAGTTACTGAAGAACCGGAAAAGAGAAAAGCAGAAGGAATAAATTTGAGATCATAAGACAAGCTGCTCCCAGCTCGACTGAGCTTGGGCAGAAGCTGAAATGCAGGGGCCATTACTCATTATGTCCATTTGACATTGGGGGCATGCCAGGGAGCATGCCAGCAGAATGACAGTGTGCCCCCTCAGATACCCTACATGGAGCAGAGGTTAAAGAATGGCATGGTACCCATGTACCCATGGTTCAGTGGGGAGCCAGCCACCTGCTGGCTCCTCCCTCCTGGGATGTACTGCTGGGGGTGGGGTGGTGGGAGGAGCCTTCTAACACGGTGCTCTGTCTCCTCCCAGATCCAGGAGATGGTCCACTCGGAGGTGGCTGCCTATGACTCAGGCCGGCCGGGGCCCCTGCTGGCCCGCCCAGCGATGCTGGCCAGCCACATGAGCGCCCTCAGCCAATCCCAGCTCATCTCCCAAATGGGCATCCGCAGCAGCATTGCTCACAGCTCCCCGTCCCCCCCAGGAAGCAAGTCGGCCACCCCCTCTCCCTCCAGCTCCACCCAGGAAGAGGAGTCGGAAGCGCATTTCAAGGTGTGTGGGATGGAGAGGCAGTGGAGGAGGATCCCTGTTAGACATGGCCCTCACGTCCTCTGGAAAAGTCTAGAAGGAAGGCTGTGTCCTTTGCTAGAGGCTGAGGAAGAAGAAAGACAGCTGGTAGAACAGGTAACATGCTGCAGGCCTTGGGCTTTGGCTCCTGAATCTGCAGAAAGCCTCGCCCTCTCCCCTGTACCCATGGTGCCCATGCCAGGAGACCCCTGAGCTCCTGATTGGGGGGTCACCTGCGCTTCCTCCGCTGCCTGGTTCAACATCATCCTCAGGACGCCTCAGCCTGTATCACTGGCCAGGCCAGGATGAAATAATAGTTCTTACTTAGCAAACACTTGTAAAACACAATTGTGGGACAGACACTGTTCTTTTATCTTTTGGTTGTTGTCATCGTCGTCATCATCTTGCTGTTGTTATTGTCCATTGTCCACAGTCATGAGGATTGAACTCAGGGCCTGAACACTGTCCCTGAGCTCATTTGCTCAAGGCTGGTGCTCTACCACTTTGAGCTACCACAGGACTTCAGGTTTTCTAGTGGTTCGTTGGAGATAAGAGTCTCAAGGACTTTTCTGTTCATGCTGGCTTTCAACCCCAATCCTTAGATCTCCCTAGAGTAGCTAGGATTACAGGGATGAGCCACCAGCACCCAACTGCTAAGGCACTGTTGTAAGCACACAACAAGCATTATCCACGTGATTCTCATGACAAGTCTACACTATTCATTCTGTCCATTTGGCAGATGGGGAAGCTGAGGAACCCCAAGAGATTAAGTCAGCTGTCCAGTGTCACACAGCCAGGAATCAGAGCAGGTGTTGCAATCTGGTGTATGTGCCTTTAACTACCTGCGGCACCTGTCTGTCAGCTCTCCATCCATTCATCCATCATGAGACAGGACAAAGGCCTGGACAGGGGGTGCCCTCCGAGAAGACTTGAGGACAGCCATGTTGCCACAGGCCCTCCTCTCCGTCCCCACCCCTCAGACGTGGAGGCCAGAGGCTGGTCCACTCATCCAGGTTTCCCTTTCACTTTATGGCACCACCGCCATCTTCTTAGCACATAGAACTGCAGATTTCATGGCAAGATCCAGGACCTTTGATCAAAGTTCCTAGTCTCTGTGAGGGCCCCAGCAGAGACCCATGAGGTCCTTCCTCATCCTAGCAGCTATGGTCATCAGGAATGGGCAGGGCCTAAAGTCTGTCCAGGTGAGGACCCTGCCTGCAAGGCTGAGCTGTGGCAGTCATGTCAGCCTTGTCCTTTTCTCTACCTCAGGGGCCCTGGGCATCGGCCACCTCAAGTTTGATGGAGGGGACCAATGTTTAAGAATCAAGGGTAGCTGGGCACCAGTGGCTCAGGCCTGTAATCCTAGCTACTCAGGAGGCTGAGATTCCAGAATTGCAGTTTGAAGTCAGCCCCATGAGACTCTCATCTCCAATTAACCACTCAAAAACTGGAAGTGGCGCTGTGGATCAAGTAGTTGAGTGCTAGCCTTGAGCACAAAGAGGCTCAGGGATAGCGCCCAGGACCTGAGTTTAAGCCCCACGACCGACCAAAAAAAAAAGAAGAAAAAGAATCCAGGGTGGTATTCACTGGAGATGAATCATGAAGGAAAAAAGTAAATGAGAAAATACATGCAGAACTTGGTCCCTGTCCCTCAGCTCTTCAGCTCAAGGTGAGTGCTCTACCACTTGAGCCACAGCGCCACTTCCGTTTTTCTGGTGGTTTATTGGAGATAGGAGTCTCACGGTTTTTCCTGCCCTGGCTGGCTTTGAACCTCAGATCTTTGATCCTCAGATCTCAGCCTCCTGAGTAGCTAGGATTACAGGCATGAACCACCAGCGCCCAGCTAAAGACTTCCTCTTCTATCAGTGTCAGGCCCAGACATAGTCTATGCAGGTCCCTCCACAAACCCAGCTTCTTAGAACCCAGCCCTGGTTGTTGGTTAGGGGCTTTTACAGCTTTGTACAAGTTCTCTGAATAGGGAAAAAGTGATAGAAAAATCAGAAGAATATTTTGAAATTTTAAAACGTGAAAGACATGAAAATGATTTCTAACAGAAAGTTGGAAAGTCACAAAGGTTTTATTGCTCAGGTCACTGGCTGATTTCACCTGCAGTGTAGCAGTCTTGACCCTGAAGTCTCTCTATTACTTTGAAGACTTTCCTTCTCCTGGGTGTTTAAATCAGACTTAGAGTAGCACTAATTCTCCTTAAAAAGTTAAATGTAACATTGGGTGTGAGGTGCACACTAGTGAGCCCAACTACTTGAGAGGCTGTGGATCTGAGGATCAGTAGTGTAAGTCCAGCCCCAGGTAAAAACACTAGACCCTATCAGAAAAAGTAGCTCAAGCAAAAAAATGGCTAGAGGCATGGCTCAAGGGTGAAAGCACCTGCCTCACAAGCTCAAGTCCTGAGTTCAAAACCCAGGATCACAGCAAAAAACAAAAAATGTAAAAAAAGGAAGAGATAAAGCTACACCCAGGACAGTGTGTGTGTGTGTCTGCCTGTGTCACTGTGTGTGCCTATGTCTATATAACTCGGTGTCTGCCTTTTGCTGTTGTTGTTATTTGTGTCTCTGGTTGTCTTTCTATCTGCCCATTGCCTCTCCACCCAGTGAGTGGTGTGTCTTAATAGTATGGCTGGAGTTTTATCTTTGGCAGGAAGCTGGTGACCTTCTATGGTGTTCTGACTCCTCTTACCTGGTCAGATTTCAGGAGAGAAGAGACCGTCAGCCGACCCAGGAAAAAAGGCCAAGAACCCAAAGAAGAAAAAGAAGAAGGACCCCAATGAGCCTCAGAAGCCTGTGTCAGCCTACGCGCTCTTCTTCAGAGACACTCAGGCCGCCATCAAGGGTCAGAACCCCAGTGCCACCTTTGGAGATGTGTCCAAAATCGTGGCCTCCATGTGGGACAGCCTGGGAGAGGAGCAGAAGCAGGTGAGCCTCCATTCTTTTTTTGGAGGGGAGGGAGGCTGGTCGTTGGGCTGGAACTCTGGGTTTGGGCACTGTCCCTCAGCTCTTCAGGTCCAGGAGATGCTCTACCACTTGAGCCACAGCACCACTTCCAGTTTTCTGGTGGTTAATCAGAGAGAAGAGTCTCACAGACTTTCCTGCCCAGGCTAGAGTTGAACCATGATCCTCAGATCTAGGCCTCCTGAGTAGCTAGGATGCCAGGCCTGCATGAGCCACCAGTATCCTGCTTAGCCTCCATTCTTTCTGGATCATTGCTGAGGCTTTGGAGCCTCCTGGGCCCAGTTTGCCCATCCAGAAGTTGCCAAGTTCCCGTGCTGCCACTTGCCAGCTGTGTTAGGTGTAGCCACTTAACATCTGTATCTCGCTTCCCCATCCATGGGTTGAGAATGAGAGTGTTGGCCCTTTTTCTTGGTAGTAGTAGTAGTACTGGGATTTGAACTACACACCCCTCAGTCTGCCAGAAAGATGCTCTATTACTTAAGTCACTTCCCTTTTTATTTTAAGTGTGTGTTTGTGTATGTGTGTGTGTTTTCTTTCAATCCAGGAATTTTTTGTTCATTCCCATCCAAGAACTTGGTATAATGCATTATAATCGAGCATTATAAATAGATCATTGTAAATACAATGTGATAAATAGAACACTCCCCCATTTCTCTAACAGGTTGTGGTTGATATATTAAAAGATAAGAATTTATTTTGTAACAAAAAGTTATACCCATATCCATATATATATATATATATATATATATACACACACACATATATATCTATTTATGTCTATCGTATATATATAATCATATATACTCATACATTTATCTGTATATATATATGTCTCTATGAATGCTATGTGAATGTTTTTTTCTACAAGTAATGGTCATGATATAATGGTGATGATACAATATTGTCTACTTATTTATTTATTTGGGTTGGTCATGGGCCATGAACTCAAGAGTCTGGGCTAGCTCAAGGCTAGCACTCTACCACTTTGAGCCACAGTGCCACTTCTGGTTTTCTGATGGTTAATTGGAGATAAGAGTCTCACAAACATTCCTGCCCAAGCTGGCTTTGAACCTCAGTTCTCAGATTTTCAGTATCCTGGGTAGTTAGGATGACAGGTATGAGCCACTGGTGCCCCGCTATCTCCTTAGTTTTATCTCTTTATTTCCCATTTTTAATTTTTTGTCAGTCATGGGGCTTGAATATTAATTTCCCATTTTTATATTTTTTTCACCTCTTTTTTGGTGCCAGTCCTGTGGCTTCAACTCGACCTGGGCTCTGTTCTTGGACTTTTCGCTCAAAGCTGGTACTCTAATCACTTGAGCTACAGCTCCACTTCTGGCATTTTGGGTGGTTAATTGAAGATGAATCTGTCTGGGACTTTTCTTGTTTGGACTGGCTTCAAACTGAGATTCTAAGATCTCAGCCTCCTGAGTAGCTAGGATTACAGACATGGGCCACTGGCACCCAGCTGTAATTTTTTTTATATTATCTATTCTTTGTTTTCTTATCCCAGTGACTTATCTGTTATGGTGACCCGGGACTGTTAGAGAATTATATTCAATAGTCAGGGTCAGTGGTCTTCTTGTGGTTACTTTCCTTACTAAAGTGTCTCATTATCAGCTGGCGCTGGTGTTGGTTTTTATTTATTTTTTAATCACACTAAGAAATTTTCCTTATGTTCCTATTTTGCTAATAATTAAAAAACACTAGTGACCAAGAGAGATAGTGTGGAGAAAATTATAAGAAACAAATTTTAAAAGCTTGCTGCACCCCAAAAGTTCTAAACTTACCTGATTGGTAAGATCATTTTCCCAATTCACCAGAGAGCTGACAATTCCTGAATGTAGAAAAGTCTGACAAAGTCCTAACACAAAGTTGTGATGCCACTCACTGTACGGGAGTGGTAAACAACCCTCGAGTTTAATGACTTAAAGCAACAAACATTATTCAGATCATGAGTCAGAGGGCCCACGGCCTGGGCGGGGCTCAGTTGGATGCTTCTGCTACACCTCTAAGCAGGATATGTCCATGCACCTGCAGTCAGCTGTGGTATATTGGCTGGCTTGGCCATCAGCAGGAGCAATGGGGCAAATTGGACCCTGAGCGTCTCATCATCCTGCAGGCCAGGCCTGATCACACAGCAGCTCAGAGTCTCCAGAGCAGCAAGAGACAGCCCCAGTGTGCAAACACTTTTCAAGGCTTTCCTTACATATTTGTTCTTGTTCCGTTAACCAAAAGTGTTATAAATATGTTCTCCAAGAGCCTCTTGAGTGACAATGATAGACACAAAAACAAAGAATTGTCTCAGCAAGGCAAAATTTACTTCTGCAGAAGAATGTGCCATCAGCCAAAAAGCTGGCAAGCAAGCACACAGAGCAGGCAGCCTGCTCCTCAATTTATCCCTCTGCTCAGATTGGTGGTGCGCACGTTTACAATCTGCTTTTGTTTTGTTTTTGTCAGTGGTGGGGCCTGAACTCTGGACCTGGGTGCTGTCCCTCAGCTCTTTAACTCGAGGCTAGCACTCTACCGCTTGAGGCACAGCACCACTTCTGGGTTTTTTCTGCTTATGTGATGCTGAGGAATCGAACCCAGGGCCTCATGCATGCAAGGCAAGCACTCTACCACTGAGCCACCTTCCCAGCACCTACAATCTGCTTTTGATTGGCTAGTTTGAGTAGGTTAACTTGTATTTATATAAGGTGACCTATAAAAGACTTTGAAATAAGATTAACAGTACACAAGTTATCTCAAAACATAGCTACACCCTCTGTTATTTGTCTTCTGAGGAAGTCTTAATTCCATCTTGGAAAAAATCAGTGAAGAGGAAACATTTCAAAAACCCTTCCTTATCCCAAAGCAGTCCCTCTTTTCCTTTTTTTTCCCCTCCACCCCCAGTTCTGGGAATTGAACTCAGGGCCTGGGCACTGTCCCTGAGGCTCTCTGTGCTCAAGGCTAGCGCTGTACCACTTGAGCCACAGCACCAATTCTGGCTTTTTCTGTTTATGTGGTACTGAGGAATCGAACCCAGGGCCTCATGCATGCAAGGCAAGCACTCTTCCACTGAGCCACATTCCCATCCTCTTTTCTATTCTTGCTGGTAATTGTCTCAGAAGAATAATCAACAAGTGCCAAGCCATCAGGCCAAAGCAGGGACTTTTAAGCAACCCACTTTGATAGGAAAAAAACAAAACAAAACAATTTTTTTCACAAAAGTAATCAGGTGGACTCTACTACCAGCAAGAACAAACAGGCTGAGGCCAGCTTTACAAAAATGTGAGAACTTGGGTCCAAAATTTCTAGTAACGACATTAGCAAATGGGATCCAGATTGACGTACCTAAACAAGAGGGTTTCATGCCAGAATTAAAATAGGATGCTTGGATGCTTTAAGAAATCTGCACTGTGCTGCCTCAGAATAGCGCCTTCCAGAGCTCTTTCTTGAAGTGAATTACTGTGACCTGGAAGCCCAGAGAGGTAAAGCATGTGGTCCCAAGAACACACAGAAACATGGCTGAAGTCCTGGGATCTAAATTGGCCTCGGGGTTCCCCATCTTCTGATCCCAGCGCCCTCCTCTATGCATGGCCCTGGAATCCAGGCCTTGTCAGCCCAGGCTGTGACATTCTCCCGGGCATTGCCCATGTCTTGCTTGCACCTTTCAGGCCTACAAGAGGAAGACCGAAGCAGCAAAGAAAGAGTACCTGAAAGCTTTGGCAGCCTACAGAGCTAGCCTGGTCTCCAAGGTAACGGAATCCCTAAGGGATGGAGCAAGCGCTGGGCCCCAGGGGAATGGCCACCAGAGGCCTTGGGAAGAAGACCTGTAGGTCACACCCACAGTGTGCCAGGCTCATGTGGGGCCCTTTACTTGCAAGTCATTTCATGGAATCCTTCCAACAAGAAGACTTGGAGGCAATCAGCAAGTGTGTGGAATTGTCCAATTGAGTGGAGGTTGTAGGTTCAAACCTTGCTTTGCCAGCCTTGACTCCTGACCATGCGCCTCTGCATGCTGTCCACCCCAGCGGGGCTGGAGTGAGGTGTGGCTGTGCATCCCAGGGGGACATGGGGGATTGTTGTGGGGGCAGTCACAGAGGAGGGACCGCTAGGGTCAAGTGGACTGGGAAGGGTTAAGCAAAGAGGACTCTCAGGAGGAGCCTGAACTGAGGATGGCTTGGCTGCTGTGCTGGCCTTACTGTTCAGCCAAGGAGGGAGGGAGGGACACCATGGGCAGGCAGGCCCCGCCGGGGCTCAGCAGGACAGAAGTCCTTAGCGCTCACCTGCATGGACTGGTCAGTCCACACTCTCCCTCCAAGGGCACAGAGGCAGCCCCGGGCCAGGTCAGGAGCTTACAAAATCACCTGGCCTCACAGCCCAGCTTCCGGCTTCTCCCTTGCCTCCAGAATAACTGCCTCCCATCTCCTTCCAGAGCCCCCCAGAAGGTGAGACCAAGAGCACACAGGCCAATCCGCCAGCCAAGATGCTCCCGCCCAAGCAGCCCATGTACGCCATGCCTGGCCTGGCCTCCTTCCTGACGCCCTCCGACCTACAGGCCTTCCGCAGCGGGGCCTCTCCCGCCAGCCTCGCCCGGACGCTGGGCTCCAAGGCTCTGCTGCCCGGCCTCAGTGCTTCTCCACCTCCCTCCTTCCCGCTCAGCCCCTCGCTCCATCAGCAGCTGCCACTGCCCCCACACGCCCAGAGCGCCCTCCTCAGCCCGCCTGTGAGCATGTCCCCCGCCCCCCAGCCTCCGGTCCTGCCCGCCTCCATGGCACTCCAGGTACAGCTGGCCATGAGCCCCTCGCCCCCAGGGACACAGGTAAGCAAGGCAGATGGGGACAGCCTTCTGTGACCCCCCCCCTTTGAGAGGTATGGAGGTGGCTGGAGTTTTGCATCCTGACCCTGCCACTCACTAGCTGGGGGACCTAGCTGAGGCTGGTGCCTGTCTGAGCCTTGGTTTCCCAAGGGAAATGGGTCTGTGCACCTCACTTGAAAGACACTGACAAGTTGCCAAGTAGATCCTTCAGCTATTCCCAGGCCTCCTAGGCCCAAAAGGCAATGATTTCTTTTTCTTTTTATTTCTTTTTTTTTTTTTTAGTCCTAGGGTTTGAGCTCAGGGTCTGAGCGCTGTCCCTGGGCTTTTTTTTGCTCAAGGATAACATTCTACCATTTGAGCCACAGGGCCATTTCCGGCTTTTTCTGTTTATGTGTGACTGAGGAATCAAACCCAGGTCTCCATGCATGAGAGGCAAGCACTCTACCACTCAGCCACCTTCCCAGCCCAAAGAGCAAAGGTTTCTGCCACATCATCCCCAGCGCCTGGCCCTCCCCAAGGCCTTTAAGGCCTCCTCCCTTCTACTCACCATTCCACGGGATACCTCCAAGTTCTCATGCCGGTCAACAATTCCACAATGACAGATTGGACCGAAAAGGAAAATCTCCCCCATGACTGCCAAGACATTTTCTTTTCCTCATTTAATTTATTTATTTTATTTTTCTGTCAGTCATGGGGCTTGAACTCAATCCCTGATCTCTTTTCACTCAAGACTAACGCTGTACCACTTTGAGCCACAGCGCCACTTCCGGTTTTCTGGAGATTCATTGGAGATAAGAGTCTCACAGACTTTCCTTGCCCGGGCTGGCTTTGAACCGTGATCCTCATATCTCAGCCTCCTGAGTAGCTAGGATGACAGGCGTGAGCCACCAGCGCCTGGCTCTTTTTCCCTTGTTTTCGTTTTCCCTTTCCTGTGTAGTGCCAGGGCTGGAGCCCAGGGCCTCACCCATACTAGGCAAGTGGCTCAGCCACTGAGTCCCAGTGAAACTTTCTGTGGGGTGCTCCACTGGGGAAGAGGGAGAAACTTTTGGAGGCAGAGTGGATGTTCTGTGTGGTCCCCAGGAAGTATCTGCAGAAAGCACCTCCTGAAACGCACAGAGACTGCACTGTCCTGGCTGTGTGAGAAGTCACCCTGGCCTGTCCCCCGCTGACCATCCCCCCTTTCCCCGTAGGAGTTCCCGCACATAGCTGAGTTCCCCGGCGGCTCCGGCTCCCGCTCTCCTGGCCCGTCCAACCCCACGAGCAGCAGTGGGGACTGGGATGGCAGCAGCTACCCCGGCGGGGAGCGAGGCCTTGGCACCTGCAGGTCAGTCCTGGACGGCCTCCCCCGGGGGCCCTGCCTGTGTACACCTCTCTCACAGGGCAGCCAGGGCAAGGGGTGGGGGGGGGATAGAGGGGTCTGGAGATGAGGGATCACTCAGGAGGATGGGTGATCAGTGTCAGCCCTGCCTGTCAATGCTCAGAGTCTTATCAACAGGGCAGAGCAAAGCAGGGTCCCGGAGGATCTTGGCTGATCTGATGCCCGGGCCTAGGAAACTGAGCCCTGCCATTCCCCTTCAATCTGTGCCCCACACCCAGATCCTGTGTCTGGATTCCTTAGGAGCAGAACAAGACAGTGGGAACTCTAAGGTACCCTGGATGATGGAGGAGGGAAGGGGTGTGTGTGTACACACGTATGTGTCAGTGTGTATGTGCACACAGATGGGAGAGGAGCTGGGTGGGGTGGGGGCCTAGGCTGGAAACTTGCCTCTTCCTGACCCCGTGGCACCCTGGGAGCAGAGATCACAGCCACAGGGAATGCCATGTAGGCCAAGGAGGAGTTCCGTCAGGCAGCCACTGGCTCAGAGCCGTTCCCAGGGTTCCCCCCCCCTCCCGCCAGGCAGGACAGTTTTCTGGGAAAAGGGGCAGCTGGGTGGGCAGAGGGGACCTTAGGGGGGCACCCAGGAGGCCCCACCAGCCCCTGTGGGCCGCCGCCCTTCTCTTCATACTCAGACCCCAGTATCTCAGGGCTCCTCCCCGCCTCCTAGTCCGGGGACCATGGCACCGACACTGGCTCAGTGTCTGCCCGCACTGTGGAGATGAGGCCCCCTGTGTTTGGTGTGCGCTAGCCATCTTGGTGCCAAGCAAAACCTACTCCTGGCCAGGTGCCCATGACTCACACCCGTAATCCTAGCTACTCAGAAGGCTTGAGATCTGAGGATTGCGGTTCGAAACCAGCCCTGGGCAGCAAAGTCCCCATGAGACTTTTCTCTCCAATTCACCACTCAAAACCCAGAAGTGGAGCTAGTGGCTCAAGTGACATCCCTGAGGAAAAGAGTTCAGGAACAGCACCCAGGCCCTGAGTTCAAGTCCTACCACGGACAAAAAAATAATAGAAGAAGAAAGCTACCCCTGGCTCCTGATCACCGCCTTCCTCCATGTGGCTTCTCAGCCTGCCAGCCCTCCTGGGCACTGAGCGGACTCTGGCTGTGCCCCCTGCACACGCTTGTGACACACCTAGGGGAGATCTGCGGGGTGAAGTGATGCAGCTGGAAGGATTCCCCGCCCACAGCTCCGTGGGTGCAGAGCCCCGCCCCCCCAATCCAGTCCAGGGTAGCAGCAGGGGCAGGCCCTTTCTGCAGCTCGCTCTCATACACCTGTGCAGACAGACATCAGGAGCCCAGCAGGGCCCTGTTGTAGTGACAGAAAAGGCACGTGCCCTCCGTAGTTGTGTCTGAAATGTACAGAGAGAGCCACCCGGGCTGTGACAGTCCTGGAAAAGTCTGAGGAAGGACACACCACTCCCCAGGGGCCGCGGTTGGGCAGGCTTCACCAGGATGCCAGCAGAGGGGGTGGGGTGTAGGTTTTCTTGGTGGACCATGGGAAGGCCCCACCACACAGGGTGAGCCATCCAGGGTGAGGGGCAGGGCGGGGCCAGGGCTCCAGAGGCTGATGAGCCCCTTCTCTCTCCCACAGCCTGCTTCCCAGGGATAAATCACTCTACCTCACCTAATCCTGCCTCCCTCTGCCCCGGAGGCTCACTGGAGGGCTGAAGAGCTGCCCACAGGAGCTCGGCTGTGGCAGCAGACGGGGTGACCAGCCAGCCCAGAGCCGTGAGGCGCCAGTGCCCCAGGGCTGAGTCTCTTCCTCCACGTCCCATCAGCCTCTGCGGAGGCAGCCTGCCGCCTACTACCAGCCCAAAGAACCTGCAGGAACCTTCTGCCCGCTGACCCGCTTGCTCCAGGGTAGCTGTGGACCCCGCTCCCTGCCCTGTACCCTATGTCTGGATGTCTGGCCCCAGCCCGGGCTCGCTGAGAGCTGCCCGATCCCTGGCGAGGTCGTTTATCCACAGAAACCCACCCCCAGATGTAGGGTGGGAACCTGGCCAGCCCCAGGCGTGCAAATACGGTTTCCTGTTACTCACTGTGAGAAAACGTTCAGAACCGTGGGCTTCGTGTAAGTAGCTACTAAGTGTTTTAGACCCGTGCTGAAGGCATCGTGGGGTTATTTTGTCGGGGGGAAGACAAGTAGTTTCCTTAAAGGTTAAAAAGCATTTTCTATGACTCTTCTTCGCACAGTGGGTTGTTATTTTTTTTTAAGTTTTTTCTTACGGGAGACATATGCACAAGCAACTGTCCAATTGAAGCTACGTTATCAGTGCAGTGAGAGAGGAGCAGACAATTTCTAGCCCCATTCAGAGGCATTGCTCTTATTATTTCTTAAACCATGTGCCCATCTATTTAAGATTGCCAGTGCCGATTCTGGTTTTGTTTTTGTTTTGTTTTTTAGTCATGTATTTATGAAGAAAACATGAGAACAGAGTTGCAGTTGATCCTAAAACGTGTGTGTGTTTGGGGTTTGGTTTGGGTTGGGGTTCTTGGAGTTGTTTGCAGCTGTTGTCTGGGTCCTGACACACGTCTGTCCTCCCGGTGGCCCAGTGCTTCTCTCAGATCTCTTTATAATAAAACTTCTGAAAAGTGGCAAGCAGGTGTGTGTGTGTGTGTGTGTGTGTGTGTGTGTGTGTGTGGTGTGTGCAGCTTGTCAGCCAGCTGCCCACCCACTTTGGGTGGACAGACGTGGGTTGAAGTCTGACCAGCCTGACTGGCCCGTGTGGGTCGGTAGAGGAGTAGCAGACCTTGCTGACTTCAGCTTTTTCAGAATATAAGACTCAACACCGTTTATGTCACAGAGTAAATGGTCAAGTGTGCTGAATTGATAAAAGACACACAGCAGTACACACACACACACACACACACACACACACACACGGGAAACATCAGCCTTCCACATGAAACTTAGTCCATCCAGACACTGAAGATTGTTCATAAAATCCCTAGTGCCCAAAGAACACCCCAAATGCACCTATGATCTAGGAAGCACAGATTACAGCTGATGGTATACACTGCGAACGCCAACGTATTTGGGGGCAGAGTGAGACGATGGTAAGGGAGCAGACCCACAGAGAGCGCGATGAGATGAGCAGGGTTCTGGACACAGCGCCGCCACACGGTGGTGCCTGCAGACAGGCTGAGGGAGATGGTGACCAGAACCAAAGGGGGCAGTGGGCCTGGAGTAGAGGGCATTATGAGACCAGGGACTCCATCAACCAGGCTCTCCGGCACTTGGTAAGGAATGTTCTGTGATTCCTTTATCTGTCTGGATTCAAGTGCCTGCTGGGAAGGGTTGTTGGGCAGACACAGCTGTCTTTCTTTCCTTTTTGGGGTGGGGGGGATACCAATATTATGGCTTGAGATCTCGCTCAGCTTGCTTTTGTTCATGGTGGGTGCTCTACCACTGTGGCCATTCATCCCGTTTCCCATTTTGTTGGTTAATTCAAGATGGGAAATCTCATAGACTTCAGTGTCTAGGCTGGCTTTGAACTGTGATCCTCTGGGTCTCAGCCCCCTGATTTGCTAGGACTTCCGGCATCATGCCCTAGTCATACCCAGCAACAGCCTTCTTTTGAGGAGGGGGCATGGCAGGTGTTGAGGACATACAGAGAAGTGTCCTACCTTTAGGAGGGACCGTAGACACTTCTCCAGCCCCGGGGGTGGACACAGCCTTGCTGAGAGCAATCTCCTCACCGAAGAGCAGATTGTAATCCACTTTGGGAAAAAGAAATTCCACACAAACAAAAACACCAGGCTGTCAATTCCGTGCAGCAAGGTAATGTGGAACATCAATATTTCATGTGGTTACAATTTCCTCTCCTGTGTGGAGCCTGTCAGTTACGCGGTGATGGCTTAGACAGGTTCATATTCCATTCGTGCCTTTACAAGGGGGAGAGCAGCATCGTGGGCTCCAAACAGACAGCCTGAAGTGATCAGAACCTGGGGCCCCGATCCCTCAAAACAGAGCCAAGACCTCCGTGCTGTACCAGGGCTCAGGGGCATTTGCAGGCGTCTGTGTGTCCAGGCCAGACTTTGGGCTGGCTGCTCAGGACACTTAAGTATGAATAGCCACCTACAGGCAATCAACACTGTCACTTGGGTGTGATCTGCGGCTCCAGAGCATAGGAACAGATGGGCTAATGGGAAGTACAGAAGGCTGATATCCTCTACTTGTGTCACCAGGTTGAAAACCCACAGGGTGGCTAATACACATCCATCAAACATCTATTTCTCACTCTTTTGGAGTCTGGGAAGTCCAAGGTGTCCGTATCTTTCTATGTCCTCAGGATCTCTTTTATAAAAGGGCACAAATCTCATGAATGAGGGCTCCACCCTCAGAACCCATCATCTTCCAAAGGCCTCGCTTCCATAACCCAAGACATTAGGGCTAGGGTTTCAACATGCAGATCTGTCCAATCAGGATGCCCAAGTAACAGAAGCTCCTCCCCTGGGGGGGGGGGCTCCATGCTCCAGAGATCAGGCAGGAGCAGATCTCCAGCAGCCATGTCCCTATCAGCTCCTTCTTGGCCCTTCCTCCCTCCCTCCCTGGTCTTAACAGTTTTTACCCAGAAAACCGCAGGAGCCAGAATCCCCAGCTCAGGCCCTGTGTGTTTTCTAGGATGCCAGCTGCATCTGGGCACAAAGCCAGGGGGCTCTGTGTTCAAATGGCTTTGCTCATGCTGACACCTGACTACCTAAGTCATTACTTCAGTCCTCAAATTTCCCTATCTAAGAAAATGGGGCAGAGGAGCTTTGGGTCCATCCTAATGGCCTCATTTGAGTTTTAATCGCCTTAAAGCTCCTTGTCCCCAAACACAATCACACTTGGGAGGCAGGGGGATGATCAGAACTTCAACATGCTTCATCCCCTAAAGACTAGAATACTCCAGAATGATGAGAAATGCTGTGACGCTGGGGAAATCCAACCAGTGGCTCATGGGCCAGGCAAAAGGAAATAGATAAACCAGGATGGGCTGTATATGGAGATGTCAGTCACCAGATCTGTCCCTCTTCTGGGAAGAGGTGTGAAACAGGATTGCTGAACCTCATCTCTAGCTCAGTGCTGAGCATCCTAAGGAGCCTCCATATCCTGCCCAGTGACTTAGAAACAACCCTTACCAATATGGACAAGGTCACATCCCCACATCTCCAACTTGACATGGGACACAGTAGGTTTTGTCTTCTGCATGCTCTTCTAAATCCCCAAGTTTTCTTCCCTGGATCCTTTGACTCCAGTATAAACGATTATTAATATTATTTCAATGTTCTTAACAGGCTCTGGTGGCTTACACCTATAATCCTAGCTACTCAAGAGCTGAGATCTGAGGATCACAGTGTGAAGCCAACCTAGGCAGGCAAGTCCATGAGACTCATCTCCAGTTAAAAAGCTAGAAACATAGCTGTGGCTCAAGAAGTAGAGCACCAACCTTGAGTGGAAAAGGCTAAGGGACATCACCTAGGCTCTGGGTTCAAGCTCTAGTATTGGCAACACCACCACCAATGAAATGTTTTTACTGTAAGTGAAGTCCGGAAGTTACCATGAGCATACATGCGTACAATTATATTGGCATCAGGAAGGTAACAGGAACAAAGGACAGCTTGACAGATGGGACAGGGTGTGGTAAGGACTACAGCGAAGTGAACTTAAATTCAGTATGTATTCCTCACACCTGCTAAACACAACTCACAAGCTTGCCGGCCACTTGCAGCTTTCAATCATCTCCTTTGTGATCTCCACTGAGGACATGGGTAAGGGGGATTTGGTTTTAGACAAGCACACAGGCCTGATTTTAAGCCAAGACTTTAGGCCTTGGCCCATGCCTATAATCCTAGGCACTCAGGAAACTGAAATCCAAAGGATCAAGGTTCAAAACTAGTCCAGGCAGAAAAGTTTGTGAGACTCCATCTCCAAAATAAGAATTTTTTTAAAAAAGATAGGGTGGAGTTCAAATGATAGAGCACTAGCCAAACAAGCATTAGGCCCTGAGTCCAAACTCCCAATAGCAGCAAAGATAGAAAAAGAAAGACAACTTGAATTCTTGCCTTAAATAATCTGTCTCAGTTCCTAGAGATGTTAATAAGGAATGTCAGAAATCCTTCAGGGAAAGTGTTTAGTGCCAAGCCTGGCACACAGCAGTGCTTCAAATTAATACTGGTTATTACTGAGTTAAATCACAAAGCAATGAAGGTGGTGTTTTTGTTTTGGTAAAGCAGGCTGGAGCAAATTTGTGTGTGGAGTGGTGGTGCCTCCTGGTGGTCAGGGTTGAGAACTGCAGCATCATGTAGCCAGGCCTACGCAGAACAGTTAATTAGCCAAATTGGGCTCCAGAGCTAACAGTGTACTTTAATAGAATTCTGTCACAGCACGCAGGAAACACAGATCACTCACTGCCACCTTTGCTCTCCATATTCATCCCTGTCCCCCCAAAATTATGGCCCCACAGAATTATTCTAACAGTTCAGTGAGATCAGTTGGAGTGTAGATTTTAGGGGTACAGACTGATGAGTTTTGACAAGTGCACCCATCCCTTACCATCCCAGCCAAGATGTTTTCATCACCTTAGAAATCCCCTTCTACTCCTTCCCCACCTTGGGACCCCAAGCCTCTCCTAGGTTTTTTTCTCACTGAAGTTTTGCTTTTTTATAGACTATTACTTACAGCTGCTTTTGCTTGTCCCCCTACTTGGGCCCAAACATTAACTAAAAGCTAGATAATAAGCAAGGCACTCAGCCTCTTCCACTTTGGCTCTTGTCCTGAGCCGTTCTTTCCTGCAGTTGCTTTGCAGCCATCTAGAAGCCGGGAAGTAATGGACAGGAACCTGGACCCTCTG